TTTTGTAATACCTACAAAGGGGAATTCCTTTCAAGGCTATTCGTCATCTGAACTGTTTATAAACCAAAATTATTTTCTTCATGTAAATTAACATAAAACGCATTATTCCGTTTCTGATAACTGAAAATTAAAACTTTATTAACAGTACTTTTTAAACAGGTTCATAATAAAAAGTACCGAAGGAAATATGTTCAATACGGAAATAAATAATCAAGCAAGCAAATATTCAAAGGAGAAAACAGACAATTTTATTTTTTTTAATATGCCCGTTGTATGAAACAGGGTCGACGGCGTAATTAGAAGATGGTGAAAACGTGAAAGATATTCTATCTTTGATGGGGAGTCAGCCTCCATAAAAATAATCGATAACTGTTTTTCTGCGGCTTCTTCATATCTTCACCTATATTTCTTAGGGTAACTTGACTCTTCCTGAGTCTCACTGGGCCTCACTCTCACTAAACACGCTTTATTGCCATTTAAAATATTTTTAAAGTGATGCACCGTACTAAATTACCTCTAACAATATTTATGCTGATGCTTTCTATAGCCTAAGTAGGATAATGCAATTCAATGACATTTTACTCCTCTGGCACAAATTTAGCGTGTCAAAGAACTACAGTCATTTGCTTTCTTTTCTTACTTTGAAGGCTTTTTCCTTCTCCATCGCCTTTTGTTTTTTTGCTTTTAAAGGGTATTCATTTCATCCCTGCTGAAATCTTTTCTGTGGTACCCTAGTAACTCCTAGACAACTTCATTTTACTTTCTAAGACTATAATCACAATATAAAACACAAAACGAAAACCTACTCAGTAACAAAAAACACATCCTCAACGTCAAAATCTCTACTTGCAACACAATCAAGTCACAATTTCCTGCAGACAAAATTCTGGATGTCAGTTTCTGCAAGCCTTTGTTAGTGTGAGTTAACCTATGAAGAATATTAAAACTATGTTTCCGAAGGTGTCTAAGTGTTAATTTTTTGTCAGAATTTACCTCAAACATTTTATAAGATGATTTGTTGCTAGCTTGCTTTTTTATTACTACAAAGTACTTTACCAACCAAGATGTTGTTCGTTCCTTAAGAAAATTTCTTCGTAAACCGATTTGTTCATAATGAAAGTCCGTGGGATGCGATGTTCCACTGTATATCCTGACTTTAGCTTCTTATATTCTATGACGTACATGGTAAGATCCCTTTTCATTATCCGTCTTTCTTTATTATGACATGATTTCTGTTCAGTTCTCAGATTTTTCTCACTTTCGGTTCAATATTTTTTTCCAGATTGCTGAAGATCTAATTATTATGTTTTAAGATGATAACTTCTAACTGAAATTCCTTAAATTATTATTTTCAATGATTTCTCTCTATGTGGACATATCGCAACTCTTAAATATTAGTCTATTTATCTTGTTTTACTCATAAAAGATTGATATAACCATTTATATTGAAGGTCCGAATCCTACAAACGGGCTGTCTGCGTGGGTGTTTTTGTGCTTTTCCTCTTGTATAAAGTGTAAATATTTCTCGGAGTGGTGTAGTGGTGTATTTAATTATGGCAAAGCACACTATGGCTATCTGCCTAAGGGGAGGGATACCTTCGTGGATGACTTTCTAAAGGAAACTGGCTCGTATACACGTTACACATGGGGAAAACCACGAAAACACCCATGCAGCCAGCCCGTTCGCAGGATTCGAACCTCGAACCGAACGACCGAACTACCAGTGTTCGGGACTTTACCGCTCGGTGGTAAAATTTCTCGACGGAATTAGTAACTGAAAAAACCATATGACAAAAGAGTGGATTTTTTACGCTTCGAAAGTTGCAGGCCGCAGCGAAGCACGCGTTTTTTATCGCTCCACTTCTTGCCTGCTCATCCTGCGGAAATATCGTGCATACAAATTTCACATTATCGTAAAGAGGAAGATCTAAGGATTACAAAGATACCAGATTTGTGATAGAGAGATTGATAGAAAATGATTTATGAATTTTCAGATTGTTCAAAACTCTCAAATGGCAAAAGTATTGTAATTACGCAAGCTACAACTTTCCACCGTTCTATATGAGCCGCCGCTCATTGGATCTTCAAGTAACTTTTACCATCGGATGTGTAAGCTTCCCAGGAGCATTTTAAGACCAAGCTCAAGTCGTTCTATTAATTAGGGAATTTAATATTATTAAATTTGCTGATTTTACACACGGTGTGGAATGCGATTGTGAACTCTGACCTTGAGCAAAAGGCCGTTGCACTCGTCTCCCCCTCCCCAACGGAATTCGCTACGGAGTGACCGCAAAGAATGCTTCAAAAATAGAGAAGTGGGCGTTTTTATACACAGTGTTTAATAGTAGAACTAATTAGTGTACCAAGAGAGGGTTAGCATCTTTGATCTCTGCTCATCGAGACGGATCCAAGTTTCTTTATCTGATGAAATTCTGACTAGTGGTTCGCAAATTACGACTTTTTTTTTTTTTTTTTTTTTAAAGCTTAATTATTCATCTTAGTGTGTTACATCAGTTCTCACAGCGTAGTGCGTGTATCATGGTGAGTGTGTTGACATCAGTTCTTACAGTGTAGTGCTCATTAGTGCGTTATAGTGATCTGTTCTAATTGTGTTGTGCCTTCGCTTTTGGATTACCTAATTCAACAGATTAAATACATAGAAGATAAACGACCAAGGATTTCCCAGCTGAAAAGAGCAATTCACATAGCAGTGTGACGTAGCAGTATGAATCAGGAACTTAAGACTCAGAATTTGGAAAAGTCCGCCGGATTGTACGTTTTCTATAACTTTTCTCGTTAGTTCTTTAAACTTCGGTTTTCTCAGCTGAAACCAACAATTAACGTAAGTAGTGTGAGCTAATTAGTGATATAATGATAGTGTTGTGCGAATACAGTGTTCTACAGCGTGTGTGTGTGTAGTACTCAGCACTATTAGTGCTTAATAAATATTATTGTGTTTACTTCATAGAGAACAAACAAAGGAAGCGCAGAAGAAGCCCTGCAATCAAGGTAGGATTGTTTTAATTATCCGGTAAACAAAATATCCGATAATCCTACGAGCAATAATTAAGATTGCATTACATTTACACAATAGCAGTCACCTAAATAGCATCAGGGTAATAATAGCTGTTTAAAACTTAGGAGCTGGTAAATTAGCTGCGTATTCATTCCTTAATCCTGTATACCACCCTCCTAAATATTAGCAGTTTTGCAAGGATTCGTTTCAGTGATCGTATCTTGTATATTTTCCTGTTTTATACATTTAACTATACTTATGTTTGTGAGTGTTTATATATCAGTAAGTGCTAGTATCGTGTGTAATATATTTCTAGCTTAAATAATAATAATAATTAATTAATTAATTAAGTTTTTTCCTTAATGTGTGTTGTATAATTATATATTTCTGGCTTACAATAATTTAACTAATTAAGTATTTATGCTGATATTTTGTGTTATTTACTTCTAGCTAATAATGATAATTTAATTGATTTAGTTTTTATACAGAGAATAGTTTCAGCGCTTATATTCTGTGTGATATCATGTTCTATACCTTTATTATGCGGCCCATAGACTTATTCATTGATCTTTACTAATTAAGCAGTGTACAGCGCTACTGCTACTTTATTAATTGAGCAGTGTGTTACCTGTCATATTTGATTGAGCAGAGTATTACTTGCATTACTTGTCACTTTCCCAGATTGAGCAGAGTATTCCCACTATCCTGATTGAGCAGTGTATGACCAGTGCTTATGTATACTCATACAACTTACATGCAACTTATCTAGCGGCATTTCTACACTGGTAAATACACCAAAATACCCCTTGATTGCTATACTCAACTTCATCATCACCCATATTCCTTCCAGCACAAACCAGCACTATGCCTGATGCAGAAGCGTCAGTGCGCCTTTGCAAATTCGACGCAGCAACAATCGTAGTAACTGAAAGTCTTAATTACGAACAAAAGATTAATACACTCTACGAGAAAGCCAAAGACATTGGCACCAGTACAAAAAGTAACAAGTACCTGTTACCGACAGAGCAAAGAAAGAAACTATTGGCCATTTTAGAGGCCTTCCGGACTCTAGCCACCAGAGGACCTGCTGCCACTCCACCTCCCAGCTAAAACCAACACAGGTGTTAATACTGATTCAGGACTCTCCTACTCTCCACCTCAACCAACAATACACCCAGCAGCAGCTCCGGTTATCGAGCGTTCCTACGCGCAAGTGGCATCACATTCTACGAAACACACACTTCTTATTTACCCAAAAGAAGACTCGAACGCCACAAGGAAAGTACTAAAGGAACACCTGAACGCCAAATTCCCTCTCCCATCACTAGGTGTAAAAATACACTCAGTTAGAAATATCCAGAAGGAGGGGATTGCTGTTGACTGCGCCACCAAAGAGGATCTCACCCACCTCACAAAGACACTAGAAAGCACGCAAGGCAAACAATTTGCCAAAACAAAACTGCCAGCAGTCAGACTACCTAGAGTCGCAATCCACGACGTAAAATTAGACGTCACCAAGGAGGACATTGAACGGGCACTAGGCTCTGAATACAACCTTACCAGCAGCACTACAAAAATCTTATACCGACTAAAAGATAAAGCAAATGGGTGCTGGAATGTCAGCCATCAGCCTTCCACCGCATCATGCAATACCCCAGATTATATCTTGGCTGGAGAGTGCATCGAATTGCGGAATTCTTCAACACCAGACGATGCTTCCAGTGCCAGGAATTCGGGCACACGCAGCAAGACTGCAAGAACAAAGTCTACTGTGCGTACTGCTCCGGAAGCCACAACGTCAAGAACTGCAAATCCGGAATGGCCACCTGCATCAACTGTGCAGACTATAACTACAGCAGTAATAACAAAATATCCTGCGCCCACCCGCCTATGATATCTCCTGGCCCACCTACAGCAGGTACGTTGAAAGAATCAAACGCAGCACAACCTATGAGTAATAGCACTGCAGGACATCCATCAATCTATGCCTACAGACCACAACAACCAAGTAACATTTAGCCCCATAAAATGCGTCCAGATTAATCTACAAAGAGCGCAGGCAGCGACATCTCAAGCAGTCACTCATGCAACATCCCACGATGCAGATCTACTCCTGATACAGGAACCTTATTGTAGAGAGGGTCAAGTAGCAAGCCTTCCCATATCGTGGAAAGTCTATCAGCGTAAAGCAGAAACTAACGAACAATCCCCCAGAGCCGCAATAGCATGCACCAACCCATCCTGGTCTCCACTAGTCATCAAGCAAGAACGAGACTTCGTTGCCATCTTACTAGCATTCAATAACGCACAGTACATAATAGCTTCAATTTACTCTTCCCCAACGGACAGTATCACTGGCACCACCTCAAACATTCTTGACACCATACAACGATGCCCTTCAACCCCTCTGCTTCTTAGTGGTGATTTTAATGCGCATAACACCATATGGGGATATGCAGATACTACGATGAAGGGACAAGAGCTTGAGGACTTTCTGGCAGCCAATAACATTCATCTCTTAACTACACCCGATTCCCCACCTACATTTGATAATATCTATCATGTGGGCTTGCCAGATCTCACCCTCTGTTCAAGCAGCATCGCAAACCTAGTGCAGGACTGGACTGTGGTCGATGATGAGAGCTGCTCCGATCACAAATACCTTCACTTTCTCATAAACTGTGACACGAAAATCACAGTCCTACGTAGGTTCAGGCTTCCAGGCAACAAGATCCGCCCCCTCAGTCGCTCCTTCACACGCATCTTAAGTAATGAGGAAAACAACCTTGCGCTTCACAACAGCTCAGAAGGCATGGAGATTTTCACAGACCGACTACTTGAAAACCTTAAAGCAGCCTGTAGTGAAATACTCCCCACACGCAGAGCAAAGAAAATAATAAGAAAATACAAGGAGTTAAGTGGTGGACGAAAGAGCTCAGACAACAACGGCAAAAATGCAGAGCTATCAGACGCCGCATACGTACCACCACCAATGAAGACAGGAAAAATCCAACTGTTGGCGACATTCCGCAAAGAGCGCGCTCTTTAGAAAAACAACATACTAGCGGCCAAAATTACCAGTTGGAGGAAATTTTGCACCGAAAACAGCAATCCGTTTGGAATCCTCCACAAGCTAGCCTCAAGTAAAATATATCAGCCAGCTCAAATCTTCATGCAGCCACCAAATACAAGCAACGACAATCCAGTACAAAATACAGCCACCACAATCCTCAACGAAGTCTTCCCCACAGACAACGCGGAGGAAGAAGATACGCCAGCACAGAAAAAAATTGTTCGCATGAATACCACCATCCCACCGACTCCACATGATATACCATTTAGTGACAAGGAAGTCAAGCAAATTTTCCAACACCTACCCCTGAAAAAAGGCCCCCGGTCCGGACGGCCTTGGACTATAGCATCATCAAAGTTGCCTACAAAGCACGCCCCTCCTTCTTCTACAAATTCTTTAACCAACTGTTTGACAACCAAATATTCCCGCAGGCATTCAAGAAAGGACAAGTTGTCCTATTCCTGAAAAAAGAATAAAAGCCCGCAAGATCCCGCGCTCTTTTCGCCCGATATGCCTTTTGCCAACCCTGGGCAAAATTTACGAGAAATTAATTGTTAACAGACTAAAATATCATCTCCATAGCAACAATCATCTCAGCCCCAGGCAGTATGGGCTTTCGCACTGGTCTGTCCACTACGCATGCCCTCTGCAAAAATTCGTGAAACAATTCAACGCAATAGCACCAGAGGTTTCCATACAGCTTTCATATCCATTGACCTCCAGAGTGCGTTTGATACACTCTGGTGGCCAGCGATAAGACAGGCCCTCCGAGACGCACAGTGTCCATCCAACCTCTTCAGCGTTTTTAGTAGTTATCTAGAGAATCGTAGTCTTCTCATAGCCATCAACAACGACACTACCTTCAAAGTGCAAGAAAGAGGATGTCCCCAAGGCTCTTGTGCTGGACCGATTCTCTTATCGTAGTCTTCTCAAAGCCATCAACAACGACACTACCTTCAAAGTGCAAGAAAGAGGATGTCCCCAAGGCTCTTGTGCTGGACCGATTCTCTGGAATTTAACATTCAACGCTGTACTGGATGCAAACTGGCCACGACATACAAGTGTCATCGCCTACGCAGACGACGCAGCTCTTCTTGTCAAAGGTCGCACTCGTGCGGAGCTCGAGAAAAACGGCACCGAAGTCTGCTCCCTCCTCGCCAATATCTGCAGCAACTTAAAGCTTACAATCTCTACCGCAAAGTCATCAGCAATAATAATACCCAAAGCAGGCACGAATCCAACGCGCCGCCCCTGCATCAAACTACAAGGAGCCAACATAAAGATTGTCCAAACGCTAAAATACCTAGGTGTAATCTGGGATAAAAAAACTAACCTGGATCCCTCACATCCAAGAACTAAAGAACAAAAAAACATCAGCTATAGCCAGAAAGGCGCGCGCCTTCCAAGGTAAAAACTGGGGTCAGAATCATCATATTCAGAAGATCCTCTACCATGTGGTAGCTGAAAAAATAGTCTTGTATGCTGCTGCCGTATGGGCCCAACCGATGGGAGGACGAAAGATCAAACATCTTACATCTCTTCAACGACCATTCGCCCTGAATCTCTGTAAAGCGTACCGCACCACAGCCACCAGCTCAGCGACAGTCCTTGCAGGGCTCATTCCACTCCACATACGGGCAGAACAAAGAGGCAGTGTACACCACCCTCATATACCTCCGCAAAGATGCAACATTTGGCAACATAACATACAGCCCTCTGCAATTTCAAAGCCCAGGTAACACTCTTCACACTCATCCTGCACGTAAAGGCACAGGAATAAGAATTAACATCTCACGGATACAGCCACTGTCAATGACGCGAGTTTCAAGGGATACGCAAATATACACCGACGGCTCTAAGCAGGAAGACGGAGTAGGCAGCGCCTTTGCACACTATGACAAAGGAAGAATCATCCATGTATGGAAAGGACGCCTTGACTTAAACAACAGTGTGTTCCAGGCGGAGGTGCAAGCAATTATAACCGCGGTAGATTACATTTTCAATAATAATATAGAACGGGCGAAAATTTTCACTGACAGTATGTCAACGCTTCTAGCACTAGATAATCACAACCACACCTCGCCCTTGATCATCAAATTACAACAACTTTTACAGCGCAACCCGCAGAAACATCTCTCCTTAACATGGATCAAGGCACATGCAGAAAAATGAGGGGAATGAAGCAGCTGATAGCCTGGCCAAGCAAGCAGCCACTGATCCAGAAGCTGAACAAATCACAATCTTAGCTCCTGCTGCCTACCCTAAAGGGCTATTACGAGTACAAGGCCTAAATCTTTGGCAGGAAGACTGGACGCACTGCACAACTGGAAGACGTACATACAGCTACCTCCCGAAAGTCAGCACTGAACGCAACATTGCAATAGCTCCTCTTACGGCTTATATTACGGGACACGGCCCATTCCCGACCTACTTCAATAGACATGGCATAACAACCACGGACATATGCGCCTGCGGAGCGGAAGGCTCCCCAGACCACTATGTTTTTGAATGCCATCTGACAGCAGGAAATCACCTCCCTCTTCCCATCAACAATAGTGAAGCTTATCACCGCTTCCTTATAAAGCACAAACCGGCAGTAAATACAATCTGCAAAGTTGTTAACAAGCTCAAGAGAATGGGCCAAGATTTGTGTTCTCTTCTCATTAACCAAAACTCTCAAGGCATGATACACTAACTAAGTCAGCATGCAGTTCCACATTCTCAGACACATAAGTCTACTCCTAAAACTTACATAAGTCCCTATTACAGACACTTATCAAATAATGTACAATCAAATGTATTTAACATTTCCTCTTCTGTATATGCATAATACTTAATTTTTTATTTTTATTTATTTATTTATTTATTTTTTATATGAGCCTGTATTTTTTTAATCCTATTATTTTGTAACTGTATTTTTTGTATCTGTATATTTAATTTGTATTTTTATTTGAATTTTATTGTGAATATGCAAAATTACCATAGCAAATTGCAACAACAAATGTCAAAACGGTAAAACGAATGCAATCTGCCCTTGTATGGCCATGTAAATGCTCTTGTTAACATCCTATAAAGCTCCCGAGGCGGCCTCTTGAGGCCTCAGGGAGTTGTTCCTGGTTAGTGGAGGGTGCGGGACACATGCCTGTTTACCTCTGTTAGACATCAGGCGTCCCCGTCCTCCGTTACCAACCAACCAACCAACGCTTCGAAACACGAAACATAGCCATATGTCACATGATATAATGAAACATGAATGTGATATTTCAAAAATGACCATTTCCTGCACTGTAACCAGCGGCAATATATTTGGGTCTAATCTTCTTTGAGGAACTTTAACCTGCTTCCATTCACTTATAGGTGTGAAGGATATGGCTCGGTAAATATTCTTAGAAGCCATGACTCCACTTTCTTAAAACACAACTTTATTAACACGACTATTAACAAAACTATTCATTAAAACAGTCAAACTTCTATATGAATACACGAACATTTTTCGCACTCGAGATAATGGCAATGTGAGTAAAGAATCTGTAGGGAGATCTCCCTTTCTTCTTTGTAACTGCTCAATGAGATATCATTGGTTTTGGTCATGTACTTGACATCCTTATACTTAGCATATCAATGAGATTCTTTTCTTGAAACTAATCGAAGATCTTTCTTCTGATCCATATCTAGTGAGCTTCGATTTCTATGGATTCTATCCCCTTGGTTAGATATTTAGAAATAAAATCAATTGGTAAATATTCCTGAATATTAAGACTTATTTAAGTAGCAAAGCTCCTCTGTAAAACTAGAAAAAGTGAAAATATCATGTACAGTATCAATACAAAAATTCAAATTGCAGTAAACAGATCGGCCATTTTAATTTCTAACGATTGAAAAATCACCAGTGATACAATCATTAAACGCAGATTTAATAATCCGTATCAGAAAGATTTCTGCAGAAATTCAGGAATATAGAACTATAATTTGAAACAATATACTAGAAATTTTGATATCTCATCAACTTCAGTTTTGGGAATTAAAAAATATCTGAAATCGCAATAGACCAACCAATGAGTATAATCTCTCAGATAAACCAAATTTTCCACACTTAGAAAAGTATTGTTGCATGATGGATGATGAACTGGCAGTTTTGTTAACATAAAATCTGACCCTCCTTTCTAAACCTCATAATGAAATTAATGACTGTCGATATTACTTAATGACTGCCGAATTATGAAGTTGGTTCATATGTAAATCATAGCTAGGAAGGTCAATGAAATTTTCAAAAGCCTAAATATAAAGAGAGCAAAAATGTTCGAAAATCTCAGAAATGAAGTTTCAAAAAAAAAACTGTCGAGAAGGTGCTTAGTTCTTTAAACCAATGTTTTCGCAGCTTACTTACATCAAAATTATTTTTCAAGATGAGGTAAGCATTTCTATGAACACCATTCCTAAACCTGGCAAAAATGAGACCATTCCTAAACCTGGCAAAGTTTACTTCCAATTATAATCAGATTTGCGTACTGGCATGTATTGGCAAAATCTTGGAAAAAATTTAACCCAAGACTCATTTAATATCTCGAAAAACATGACTACTATACAGTATTCAGCTTTCGCAGGAACCCTAGTAAGACCCTCCAAATACTGAACTGAGGGAAACATTAGTATTACCTGCTTTGAAATCTGCCATCGCGGTATATTTTCTCGTCTTCGAGAAAGTATTTGACCGTGTTTGCATAGAGGCTTATGCAAATACATGCTGCCATTTACACCACAAAGACACGCGATAACGAAAGATAGAATACCTTATAAACTTTATTTAATCTTTGAATTCTTACCTAAAAATTATGACCCATCATGTTATAACTGGAGATATCCTCACACGCAAGTAAGTAATCAACGCGGTTTTTCCCCAATGTTCAAAAGTGGACCCAACATTTTCAAATATTTACCTCAACGACTCTGCAATGTCTCAGCCATCGCCTGTCATG